CCCTCCCTCCCTCCCTCCCCCCCTCCCCCCCCCCTCCTTCCTCCCCTCCTCGTAGCAGCAACCGTGCTAAGCTAAAGGAAACTCCCCCCCCCCGGGAGAAAGAATCCACGTGAGAAATTACAGGGACCACCCGCCGAATCTTTACGTTATAGGATACAATATGTATTTCGTTAATTATTATTCAATAATATTTCTTGTTCTCGGAAAGGTAGTCTTCGCGTACGCATATTTCGGCCGGCAGACGAAAGCACGGTGCCAACTATTCCGTGAACCTCCCACTCCCGTACTTATAGACCCCGTATTATCTAATCCCTATAGACCCCGTATCATTTTGTCCTTATAGACCCCGTATCATCTAGGCCCTATAGACCCCGTACTATGTAGTCCCTATAGCCCCCACATCAACTAGTTCCTATAGACTCCATATAATCTAGCTCCTTATAGATCCCGTATCATTTCGTCCCTATAGACCCAGTATCCGCTAGTTCCTTTAAACCACATATCCTCTAGTCCCTCAGGACCGCATGTCCTCTAGAACTGACAGCTCTAGCGATATAGAGCAAGAAGTCTAGTAAGTAGTTTCCCTTGAGAGATACGCACAACAGCGCGTCTATATATAGGCCCCGGTCCCGGTCCCGGCCCCGGCCGAGGTCCCAATTATTTTGCTGCACTCTGTTTAGATCGGATGATTCTAGAGTTCAGCACCTATAAAACACACGCACCCGATATATCCTACATGCATTATGACATCGTATATCTTGCTTCGAAGCTAGCTGCAGCCGCGGCAGGGAGCGCCATTTATTTCTGTAGAAACTTCGTTTGTTAAGTGCAAGCGCCGAAAACCCCGCGTCTCCTGCTGTGCGTGACGTCACCACATTAACGCGTAGCCTATTTTCTACCATTGTTCGTTGGTATTCTTCGGCTATGGCGTTTATTTGAGCGACGGAACGAGCATTTCATGACGTTCGCGGACGGTGCGGGAGATCTGTTTGTGCTAACTAACCCAGAAACCTTGGCACGGCTGAGCAGAAAGCGTTCTCGCGCCTTTACGTTCGAGCTTGGTGTAAGCATTCTGACTGAGAATGATGACAATGATTCTGAGTCAGAATGATTACTCCAAGGTTCGAGCGACACTCGCGTGAATAGAGCGTGTTAGCATAGGCGCAGTCCAATTAAGGTGCCGCCGCGGTGTCCAGCACAAAGGTCAAGATGTGTAAACGGAGGGGAAATATTTTCCGTTTAACTTAAGGTATAGGAGGAAATACGGAATTGCGGCACAAATCTTAACGGCTCGACCTATGCTCTTAATATTTGGTGTATAGTGTGATGGGCAGGAAACCCATCACCAGTGCGAAATTGGAGGTCACAGGTTAAAGGGCAGTAGGGGAAAGGTTAGATATCAGACATTTTCTGATAACCTGGGCAAATGGACAGAGTAAAAAACATTTTTGTTTCATCGCTGATCTACCATTTTTATCACTTTATTGAAAGGACCATGAAATGTGCTTTCCACTGACGTGCGAAGAGTAAGTGTTTAATAAACTTTTGACCCTCAAGAGGAGGGTTAAACATGGATTCCTCAACTGCCTCAATAACGTGACAGTGTTGTCATATTCATGGCACATCCATAATATAGAAACCCAATAAGCCTGGATAGCCGAATGCGTACAGCACAGGGAGGTATGCAGAATGCAGAAGGTTGTTGAAATGATGTGTACGCAACTGCGTATCTGCATATCTGCGGCTAACAAAGGTGTCACTACGCACGACTTAAATGTTACGTTTATAACCGTAGCAACAGACCTCAGATGAGCCCAGACGCTCTGCGGCTCTTGTTTAATATTTTTTTTCTTTTGCGATGTCAGATGACATCGGAGGCCAAATCCAATGTGCCCATGACATTCAGCATTCAAAGTTACATCTAATGGCCATCTTGGACATATATCTAGAGTGACCCATATTGATTTGAATCGAGAACAGACGAACAGAGAAACTTCCACAAATATATATTAGATTATTAAAGGGGATGGTGGATTTATCTTTCTCTCTCTCCCCCCCTCTCTCTCTCTCTCTCTCTCTCTCTCTCTCTCTCTCTCTCTCTCTTTATCTCTCCTTCTTCCCTCTCCCTATCTCTCTCACTCCGTATATATATATATATATATTTATTTATTTATTTATTTATTTATATATGCTGGGCCACCCGCTGAATTTTAGGATATACATATCTATCTATCCGTCTGTGCAGGTGTGTGGTGGCTTTATGGCCGCCATCGGGTTGTACGCGTTCGTAGAGAAGGAGCAAGCGGCGGCGGCGGCGGCGGCGGGGCGAGCGACGACAACCTACGCACTACTCGACCCAGCGACACTGATGCTCATCGCTGGCTCGGTCGCCTTTGTCGTCGCCTTCCTCGGCTGCACGGGAGCTCTGCGAGAGAACACGTGCCTGCTGAGAACGGTGAGAGCCGTAGTCAATTACAGCTGGGAATCATATTACCCTCTAGCCCCCCTGCCTCACTCACTCCCTTCCTATCTCCCTATCTCCCTATCTCCCTTCTTCCTTCCCTATCTTCCTCCCTCCCTCATTCCCTCCCTCCCTTCCTCTCTCCTTCCCTCCCTCCCTCCCTCCCTCCC